TTATGAGTTTAGAGGCTGAAGGAAAAAATGCTTATTTAGAATATAGAAGACTGAAATAGTGAGTGGAATAAAAGTAATTCAGGCCCAGTAGCTATCAGCCCATGTATCTATGATGCCAATTATAAAAAAAACTTAATTAGACTTAAGTGTTATTTTCTGTTTCTTGGTATTCTGACCACTGCAATTACTCCAAAGTATTGTGTATTTTTTTTTTTTAATGCAGTCACAGGTTTCTTAACAGATTTTTTCTGAAGAATGATATTTTCCATTTATCATTCCAGTAAGTTTACAAAATGCCTTTAATTAGATAAAAAGATCGAGAACTAAGAAATTGAATAAACTATTTTGAAAAACATCTAGGAATTAATTGCATAATCTCACTGAGTTACAAAACCTGAGTGAGCTTCCCCATAGTTTTGACACTTCAGTTAGAAAATATCTGTAGAAGTATAAGTGTCTGTATTACTTCAGTTGTTATTTGATTGCTGTAAGTGTAATAAAAATAAAAGTTACAATACTGGAAGCAGAATGTTCACCTAAAAACCACAAACATAAAATGCAGTCCAAGTTTATGTTTAATGCTTTGATCTTCTGAGCTATGAAGTTTCTGTTAATAGTCCAGTTATATGTGCACATTTAAACATTTTGTAAGATATGAGATTCTGTGACATTTACAATACAGAATTCCATTACTTCTAACATGACATTTCAAAGAGATTAAGTAATTCAGATCCTTATTTCAGATCCTTTATTTTTGGAGAATTTCCACTCCCATCTACCCATAGTCCTTAAAACTTCAGTTTAAGTAGACATTCTAGCAAGAGGGCCATGTAGTACTATAAACAAGCCACAAGAAAATGTTGTAACAAAAGCAATGAAAACTAACTCAAACATCAAAAAATCATACAAACAGGAGGGAATACTGATTCAAGATCTGGGAAGATGCAAAGCTGATCAAATCTGTCTGTATCAGTATGTTAGTAAAGATAAAAGAGATGCTGTCAAACCTACATCTAGATTTTTGTAGAAATATCTATATAATAAAATACCTATACAAGTCTAAGAGAGATGGTTTCACATGCCACAGATACTAAAAAATATAAAAATATGCTTTGCTGGAATTCTTATTCTCCAGTAAAGCAAAAATTCAGCTATTCCCATTTCAGCTGGCACTGAAAATACTTTTTATCTTAGAAATCTTTGGATTTAACACCTCTATAGTAGCAAACTGCTTGCATGGAAAATTTTCCTTAATATTAATTAATAATATTTGTTTAAAGGTGTCAATTTCAAGAAGAGAACCTAAAGTCCACCAGTGCTCATCTGTTATTCTGACTGATACACTCACAAAGGTAGTGTTTATTTTATTACAAGAAATTAATGCCTAAATAAAGAAATAAATCAAACTCCAGAAGAGACCAGGAATGCAGATCCATTCATCATTTCACTATGAAAGTCAGATAGAAAGATACTGAGTATGAAAAGGGTGCCTCATGATCCTTAGCAGAAATGCTTGAAGGAAACAATGTTACAGACAGGGAGACAAATCGCAAGGTAAGAAATATGATGGCAGTGCAACACAAATTTCTAGTATTTAGGAAATGAAAATATTCATTTCTTGTCCTAGTTGCAGTAGTCAGTAGCATAACTGCAGTAATGGGAGATGTAGCAATTCACTCTGTGTTTTAAAATGATCTTAGGGCCTCAGAAAAAAACCCCAAAACCAAAACAAAACCAAAAAATCCAAACCAGCAAAGAAAATAAAAAGCCTACAGCAACTTTATAGCATCTTGAAACCTTTCAAACTTACTATTTCATATTAAATGAAAAGCTCCTCCTTGATAGCTAACAGCAATAGTGCTGTAGGATTTATTTTCTCATGGATTCCTGTGCCATCTTGGTGCATGCTTTGATTGTTTCACTTAAAACAAAAGCCTTAGGATTTATTTTGTTAAGCTTTTATTTTTAGTTAGGATATCTGTTTTTACGTGTAGCATTCTGTACACTATGCTTTTCAGAACACAGTGTGGTACATGGAACAATATCAATATATTATGGGTCTTCAGAGTGAAATTTTTGTAACTGAAAGCAAAAAACAATCATAGTTGATTAAGTTTCAGGGCAAAAACACTGTGTTACTACCATAGACTTCATGACTGGCATATATAAACTTTGAAAACCCTGCCTGTTTTTTATCTTACGTCATTTACACTGAACTGCTTTCTGCCAACCATCTTCCTGCCAAGTCAGCACAGTGGGGACAGCAATGCCCCGTAGGTCTCAGTCTCATGTGCCTGGTAATGTGACCACCAGTGGCACATCAGAAGCCTTGAACCAGCCTGAGCTCTGAGAACAGACATCCTGGTGTCAGTGTGCTGGAGCAAGGAAACAAGCTTCAGAAAGGGCTTTTGGGGATCTTGGCAGTCTCCCCATTGAGCAGGAATCAGCTGAGCACAGGTCTGGTGATGAAGTCCCATATAAGGGACTGTGTTAGCAATAACATAGTCAACAAGGCAAGGGAAATGGTTGTTTCAGCTATTCTCATCTACTTGCATTCCTGAGGCCACACCTGAGATAGCTCCCTCTGTGTCCAGTTTTGGTCCTCCTGTGGGAAAGATTTGTATTTCAAGAAAGTTAGTGAGGAGGCTGGAGTAGAGGACTTGCGGGACCTCTCACACCCTATTTGATTCTGTGCAAAAATTCTGTTAGTGAAGTGTTAGATCTCTAGATGAATATTGAATATTATTAACTGTCTGTAATTGATTGCCATGTTTTAATAAGATAAAGAACAGGAGTTTTAGTGTAACCCACTCTATCACCAGCATCATGTTTCAAATGATAAAATATTTGGTAATTTTTATAATAAAAGTTGTTGGTTTTTTTTTTAAATTTTGATTGCCTGTTTTGGTTGCATCAGTTGTTAGCCAAGGAGTTCCCTTCTGTGATCTTTCATCAGCCACTTGCGTAACTTCCTGCCACTGGGATAAGGCATTCAAGTCTTTGTGTGTCTGCTGAAGCTGAGTTACTATCTAGACATCCCGTGGTTCCATGGAGCACATACTGTTGCTTGCCTCTCTTGAATGCTCTGGACAGTCCTCTTGCTGTGTAAGGATCCTAGCATCTTAGCTTTGATATTTGAATGGGGTATCTAAGCTGGGCATTGGGAATGGTTCTCCTCACAGAATTAAATTAGGTCTGCTTCCAGGCAATGTGTATCAATGCATAAGGGCTGACAGATTCTCACTGTCTCAGTGGGATGTTGAAGTGATCATACCATAAGTTACAGCACTGTTGGGATCTTTGTCAGAACCCTAGGTAAAAAGAACAATATGCTTGGGAGGTGATTATTTTACTCAGTTTACTTGAAGGCAGTAAAATGATTTTATTTTATCTTTTCTTTCTTTCTGAAGAGGTGAAAGATATTACTGAAATGAAAGTGACACAGAATTGTGCCATTGCCGTCAAATTTTAGTAGTTACTGTGATTATTCAATCATGAAACAAAAACAGGCAATCAGCTGATACATATCTAGGTCTCCAGGCCAAGCATCTTAATTTTTGAAAACAGCAGATATAATGCTTCACGACTCCTTGAAAAGCAAAGCATCTCATACTTACCTATTCAGATACTTTGTATTATTGTGTATGATGGCTAGTTTATATTACCTACTCTGGCAAGTATGCAGAGTTCAGTATTCATGTTCACCATCAAACTCCCTAGAAATGACAAAGGTTAGGTTAATAACTTTTTTGGTAAATCAGGAATGAATAACTGCCCGTTAATGACATTAAATATGTCATTTTCAATGTTGACATATCATCAATTAAGCAGTAGAGGTCTTCACCTTACATCAGAGAACCCCAGGAAGATTCAGCAACTTCATAGAGCAGTATTCTGATTCAGTAGTTAGCTTTCTTCTAGGTAGGTACCAAAAATTGAGCAATATAGCATATAAGTATAAATACATAATTTACAAATGTAAAAGGGAGCAGTGATACTCTCTCTATTATATACAAAACAAACTTATGCACAATCACTGAGATAATTATAATTGTTCTTTCACAATAGTATATAACTAAAATCTAATTCTCCTGGCTATCATAGGCATTTAAATAATCTGGATATCTTTCTGAAGTTTAGTTACTGCAAGTATTATATGTCATTTTTTTAAAATTTAGATCAGTGTACTTTTGTACCTCTACTTAATGAGACTTTTTTGTTCCTATTGGAAAATCTTAAATTAAAAAAGCATATCCCACCAGAATTCAAATGCAAGGGATTTCAGAGGTACATACACAGTGCCTAATTTACCGCAGATAGTAAGGAAAGGAAAGCATTGGCATTTGCAGAATAAAGTTGCTATAAACACATAAAAGTTGATTAAAAGGTATAAAGTGCAGTTGGACGACATTAGCCTGTGCCAGTGCTGTTTTGAGAAGGCTAAGGAAAATTTTTGAAGAAATTTCTAAGAATATTTTTCAAAGTGTTATGATATAAATGTGCTTGAAGTAAGCATTACTTTGAATGTTACATGGGAAAGTTTAGGAATCCAACAAATGAAAGCTAGGGAAGACAGTGCTTTGAATCTTCATACATTCCTAGTAAATGAAGTCAAAATTCAATTAATAAAATTGGCATTTTAGTTTAAAAAAACACTATTTTTTTTTGTTTGTTTGTTTGTTTTGTTTTTTTCAAAAAGACCCAATGCATATTTCCTGAATACACTACCTTAAGTTCAGTAATTATGAACATATGTATGCCCAGGGGAAGTAGATGATCATCGGCACATGTATGTATTGGTACAGAGAAAGTACTTATTGTATCTGTTGCTCTTGGTACTGCCCTATTATCATTGGTTTTCTTGCCTTTCAATTGATTGGCAAATTAAACACTCAGAAGTTTGTCAAAAGGCATAAATATCACTTGAACACTGATAAATATTGGGCAGTTTCAGAAAACTGATATATCTTCCTTTACGGATATATTTCTTCTTGCTGCAGATCTAATGCATTTGAAGTGCTGGCACTCGATGGAGTTAGTACTGGGATACTTCAGTTTTATACAGCCCAGGAGAGTGCTGACTGGCTGAGAGCAATGTCAACTAACATCAGTGATTTGACACTTCAAAATGTATGTTACTTTCTGCATATTTTCTTGTTTATGCTATTGTAAAATTATTTCTAGTTCAAGAAGCAATTCACCTTTAAGAACAACATATAAAATGCTTGTGTATGGGGTGGAAAAGGAGAAAGGAAAAAGCAGCGAGAGGTTGCCTGATCAAACTTATCAATAAGTTTTCAAGGCTTGCAGTATTAGCATAGAACAGAAACCAGTAGAAACTCAGATTACGTTTATAATTTTAAATATTTTTATGGCAAAATATTTATCCATAGTGGTAATTTCACAGAGCTTTCAATGTGACCTAGTATTTCATTTTCACATTTTTGTAGTTAAACTGTGCTTGAAATCAGCACTTGTTGATTTTGAGACAAGCATGTGAAGCATGTGAAAATTCTTCTCACAGTGAAGTATGATTTGCTGAGGCTTACTGGAGACTGTAATTTGACATCTCTGAGTTATCTAAGAGTTGATTTATTTAAGGTCAGATTATTTCATCTCACGTCCTAGAAGTATAAAGATGCTTATACTACTTTAAATTACTCCTCTAAATTAATAAGTAAAAACTGCCTTTGCAAGCACAAGTATTGCAAGTATTAACTAATCCCCAGAGAAACAGAAAATTACTATTTGGATAGCACATTTATTATTCCAACAAAGAGCTAAAAATATTTATAATTACAGACTTAACCATAAAGCTAAATAGGGAACTCAATAATCTACAATAATGAAAGTATATTTGTCTTTAAGAAATGATAAAATTTAGTGATAAAAACACAATAAGAAAAGAAAGAATTGCCTGTGCAGGTTTTAATCTTTTTTTTCTCTACATGTATAAAGTATGTAACTTCTTTCATAAATTATGATTTAGTAGCCTTTTATTTGTGCTTTATACTCTAAACAAACTGTTGCTTAGGTCTCCAGATTATAATGTGTAGAATTTGTATTAGATTTCAACATAAAACTTTAAGTCTGTTGGTTAAAACAGACTTAATATTTAATTTGTTTTCTTAGTCTTCAAAAAAAACATGAATCACATTTGATCATAATAATTCATTTATTCTGTTAATTCTTTTAAAATATTCAATTGCTTAAGCAATCTCTGTCAAAAGACATTTTTCTTATGATGCATTCTTTTTCAATACTAGTTGGTGACTCACATAATGTACAGGTTATTATTATTTCATAATTCTAAGAAAGTGTATGGTAATATTTCTAGAGCAATTCCAATTCATAGTTACTAAGCTTGCTTTTTTTTTTTTTTCTTTCTAGAGAAATTAACTGAATAAAAGCCACTCCAAGGATATAAGTGAATAAGAATAAAAGTAAATGCAGGCAGCTTTTGTTAGTCATAGGGTGCTAGTCTGTTTTTTTCAAAGGACTGTGTGCAGTAACTGTGTGTCCTGACACAGTATCTTCATTGTGCTGCAACCTGTTGGCAGCAATATTTTATTATAAACTGAGTACTTAGTCTTCTCCATTATCTATTAATAGTGAATTTTGTCAACAAAATAGTCCGTCTGGTGTTCCTGTAACTGGCTGTTCCAGGAAGGGCTTGAGAACCAAGTCATGATGAATGTCTATGTTTTGTGTTCTTAGTGAGTTACAAAGTAAACTCTATGCAAGTCATACAAGAAGCATGTTAACCTTTTTGCTTAGACAGTAGCTTTAGAGGTTTTGTCAGGCATGCAGCCTGTGGTACAACTGGAAAGGTCTGACCAGAGCATTTATTTAATTATTGATCATCAAAAGGGGAGATGGAGTCAGTGAGAATCCCTTTTGTTGCAAACTACTTTTAAGGTGAGGATTGAGAAGCTGGAGTGTAGCAGAAGGCTGGACAACTCTGTGATTCTGGGCAACCAAAAACCATCATCCACACTTAGGACATCCATGTGCTTAGGACAGGGCCTTTCAATTAGGCTTCTTGGAAGTCCATTTGGAATCCTTTTTATTACCTTGGTTTTATAATTTCAAAAAGTGATTATTTTCTTATCATACCTCTGACATTGACATTAGGGAATGAATATGTAATTTCTTCAGAGCTTCTTCCTGTTTCTGAACTTCTCCACTTCTGTAGAGCATCTCCCCATTCTCCAGGACTGGAGAAAATCACTACGCATTCAGAAATTGTTTCAGAGAGTTCCTTATCTGGTTATGGTTTATTTCCATGAGAACTTTCTGATTCAAAGTTCAGTTGCTTCTCAAAATAGTTAAACTATTGATTTCTTATTCTGTCCCATGCCATCATCTCAGTATGGAAATTAATTACTAGATACATGATCACAATGAACTTTTTTGCTAACACTTTTGGCATAATAACAGCATCCTTACCTGAGCTATTACTGGGTATTTAAGCAATTATTTTAACCATTATTCAAGTTTTACTTCCACACATTTTTATATTTTAGTTTACTGGTACTTGTTTCATTACTTTAGCAACTTTTCTCACACCTTAGTCATTCTAACTTAAACTGGACCTATTTGTCTTAGTCTTACATACATTTTTTGCCCTACATATTTGCATTAAATTTTAATAATTTCTTTCAGAATTTTAATTCTTAAAGAGTTCCTTATAGGAATTAATTGTTTTTATACAGGGCACCCAATCTTTCCTGTATCACTTTACCCTAATATACTTGTTTGTTTTTTTTATTTTAACCAAATATAGTCATGTTCAGCAGCTCTTTGTCAGATCTGCTGATGCCAGGAGACCGTCCTAGTGTAGGTAGTGCAAAAATAGCTCTGCCACAATGTGACACTTCTGCTAATGTCAGACTACTCTTTTGAAGTACTGAAACATCTAACTTTTGTACAAAGGCAAGCTCTCTGGGGATGAAGTGTATAGGAGGAGCTATCTTTCAACAGTGGAGAAGTGGGAAGTTGTCACTGCATAGGAGTGCTGCCCCTGTATGTTAGCATATTTAGAGAGTGTTGCTTGGTAGATGAGAGATAATGATTCTGGTACCAGCCTGGGCTTAGTTCTTAGATGACAGAGGAGCACAGGGAATGCTGCAATGTGGAGAAAAATGTAAGGGTGTCTTTTCAGCCCTCATTGCTGATACATGTTTTACATGCTTAGCTCAGAGAATCTCCTAGTTACAGTCAGCTTTACAAGCAAGATGCATTCACTTTCATTTCTGAGGACCCTTGCCCCAAATGATTCATCTCTCTGTTCGTATTCTGTTTTTTCACATATTTTTCTACCAGCATGAAACTACCCTATCATCTTCCTTTGTGATTCAATCCTCATTTTAAATGTTTTCAAAGCTTTTTGCATTTACCTTTGGCAGAGATAAATACAGGTGAATCAGCACCTCAAATTTATTTCTTCATACACCTCTTTTCTTGCAGAAGGAAAAAGTTGAAGAAACTGGAGGAAAAAGGGTAACAGAAACTGGCAGTGAGTCTTGCATGATGAAACAAGAAGCATAGGAAACAAGTTAATCTGTATGTGCTTCTTTCTGCTCTTGTGCTTAATTTCTTGAGCTAAAGGATTCTTTGTAGGCTGAGGTGACAATGCTGTAATGGCTGTGATTTTTTAGGAGAAGGTCTTTGGGATAATATATATTTTTCTCTCTGTTTTTCACCATTCGGATTGACAGCTATTAGATGTATGCAGGTTTTCTCATGGATCATAATTATTTTCTTTGAAATCTAGCACTGAACATAACTTTAGTCATAATCAGTAGAAGCACCTAAAGGTAATGCTGTCAGTTCATTTACATTATAGAGATTTTCTTAAATTTAAAACTTTCTCAAGGTTTTGTAGATTTTTCTGAATATAATCTAATCATGTTACTTTTTAAAAAAAAACAGCAAATAAATTAGTAGGTCATAAGCAGATCATAGAACAAGTTATGATGCACTTGTTCAACTTTAAACGTTATTTATGATTTTTATAAATCATTGCAGCTGTTTTATTGGAGGATGGTAGAAACTTAAAATTTGGTATTAAAGTAGGGTTATTAATCCAGATTACATTTATGCCCATGACAGCTTTTTTAATTGTATATGTCATAGTCTGTAAACCTTTTTTATTTCTTCATGTAAACACATATCTGAGTGATACTCTGTACTGCAGTTGTGTGACATTTCTGTTGTAATAGGAAGAGACTTATGAAATACAAGCTTTAAACATACATTAAAAAAAGGAAAAGAAAGAAGACTGAGACAGACTTGCTTTTACACAGCAGCAGAATATGGGGTACATGTAGATGGAAGTGAAATTCTTGTGTGTAGGAAGCAGTATACAAATTTGACTGCTTCAATGATTATACAAACAATTCTATTCCCAGGATCAGAACACACACTATTTTTTCACTGCTGCTTTTTGTTGTTTTAAATGCAAAATTTTCAGTTGAAAGTACCAAGTACCACAGTTCGAACAGTAGAAGTTGCAAAGGGAAGTCAATAAGGATAATATCCACATCCCCTAAACTCAGCCAGGCAGTCACATAGGATACTAATACAGCTAGGAAAAAAATAGGTTCCTGTCAAGATTCTTCACTTGCACCGTTTTCTTGAAAGAGTATAAAGGTATATTATATGTGAGATAAATCCCAACCTGGGAGGTATTTAGATTTAAGTGGTTGTGAAACATTTCAGTTCCTGCCCCATATGCATCCATTTAGAACAGAGTATAGGAATTGCAATTTTCTTAATAGTTCCTTTCCAGGTTGCCTGCAGTCTTTGCAGACCCAGGTTTTCTGTTTTAGCTCCCCCGCTGTGTCCAGCTCGCATTTCTACACTGCAGTACTGAGTACTGCTCATGTGCTGCCAGCAAGGTAAATTTAGCACATTTGCATTCCTGTCTGTCTTCACCAGCTGTGGAGACATGTGAAGGGCACATGTGGTGCCAGGTGAAGTGAAGAGCTCATACTTCTCAGCCCCATGACACTGGGATATAGATATGCTGTAGAAGCAGATCTTTTCCTCTCCCCACTGCTACATCAGGGCTGCAGATGTCCTGCTTTGAACAGGGAATGAATTGTCTGTGCAGTGAACAGCTGCTGAGTCCAAAGCATTCTTCCCTATTACCCTTACCAGTGGAAAACTGAGCTGGTGATGAGGATGCTCTTCACAATATTCTACCCACTTGGTGCAGGAAACCTGCATGGCCAGTCTGACACACTTTTTTCCAGGCACATCTGAACCCATTGACTTGCTCTGGTTTGTGCTATAATAATCTTCTTGTTAAGTATGGTTTTGGATACTTGAGAGAAAATTATATTTTCTGTGCATATAACATGGCTTTTGTATAGTTACTTTGTGTATGTATTTGTGTCTGAGGCACAGGAGAAAGGTTGGACCTGATGATGGGCAGGGTGTATCAGCATTTCTACTGACATTGAAGTATTCCAGGTGTCATTTCATTATGTCCTGCACTATTGCTCTAGCAGGATTAAAGGACTGGTGACTGCTTCCTTCTGCAACACTGTGCATGTCAGCAATTTGTTTTAATCAAGTTACAGAGTGAGGTTCTTGAGTTCCCAGCTAGTTTTTACTGATGGGGTCCTGTGGGCACCAAGAAGCTCAGTCACCTCCAGGCCGTCTCCAGCACAGTGAAGCCCTGCAGTTGTGCCAGGCTGACAAAGGCACACCATTGTGCATGACCTGCCAGGAGCCTTGCTGGTACCCCTCTGTCTGCTCAGCAGCTGAATTTCAGTTCCATTCTCATCATTGTTCCCTGCCTGTGCTAAGCTGTGGGTGCCTGTGACCTGCAGCTGTTGTGATAGTCCCTTCTCCTCCTCTAGGGTGGCAGGGAGCTAGCAGGGCCACTGTAAGAGCCTGGCAGGATCTCCCAGCCCACAGTCCAGGGTGACAGACAGGCCTGGCAGATGCCCCAGGCCCCCAGCAGCTTGGTCACCCCTACCTCAGACATTCCCAGCTGTCTGACCCCCCAGCACACCTGCACCATTTAACGGCACAGTTCGTTCCAAAGGGCTGTAAAAATGAGCATATGAGGAAGAAGAAACCCTGATGGCCCATGATGGGTTAGGACTTACTTCAGCCCTGAGCATTGCTATCACACTTTGTCCATACAGTCAAGATTCCTGTTGTCATCCTACTCCACCACACTGCCTTTTGTCCTAAGGTTATTTTGTTTATGATCATAGATACTTCACTCTGTAGAGAACAATGGCTTGTAATTAGGTGCAAGTGTGTGTATGTATGTGTGTGTATAAATCCTGACACATCCTGAGGCCTGTGCCATTACCATGAAGCCATTAACATGAAGTCTGTTGGCCCATACAGGTGTACTAGGTCTGGCTGGGGTAGGAATAGCTTTCTTCTTAGCATCAGGTGCTGTGTTTTGTATTTGTGGCTAAAACAGTATTAGTAAAACACCAGTGTTTTGATTGGTGCTGAACAGTGCTTACACGAGGTGAATGCTTTGACATTTTCTCACTCTGACATACCCCACCCATCTCAGCAAAGGATGGAACAAGGAATTAGGAAGGGATACGAATGGGACATCTGACCGAAAGTGGGCAAAGAAGTATTCCACACCACTGTGCTCCACAATTGAAATTACATAGTGGAGAAAGGAGGTGTGGGTTTGTCTTCTAAGTTGCTCGGAGCCTGCTTGTGGGAGTCTGTAGTGGTTTAAGTTCGCCAATTTGAATTTCCCAGCCAATGCACCAAATAATGTGGTGGGTTTAGCGCTGGCTAAAATCGCCAGTGCACCTGCTAGAAGTATGTACTCATTTCTTGCTGTGAGATATGAATTAGGAGGAGGGTAAAGCAGGCTTAAAATTTAAAAGGTTCTTTTTTGAAAGAAAACTTTATTAACAGAACTAAAATAATAATAAAAATCAGAATAGAATCTTCTGAACACTTCTCCTCCCCTTCCCATGATCTCTTTTCCTTCCCTCTGACAATGTAGAGAAAAAACCTGGGATTTTCAATCAGTTACCACCTCTACAATAGTCTTTCATGAGTTCTCGTAGGGAGAGGAGTTTCTCTCGCCATGCCATGGAGACTTCTCCACAAGAAGAACACAAGAAACGCTTCTCTTGTGGCTTCAGTGTCACAGTGAATCAGCCGCTCAGGAAAGGAAAATCTGTTCACAGTGTAAAAGTTCCTCCTAAGCCTTGCAGCTTTCCCAAAGCTGCTTTCATGGGCCATGTCAGCTATGGGGTATTAAGGATGAGCTGTTCTAGCATAAAAAACCCAAAAGTTCTCTTCTTTTATCTTTGGAATCTTCTTCTTCTATCTTCTTCTTATCCCTGGGGCAGAGTTTCTCTTCTCTCTCTGTTCAAGCTTCTCATTAGATTACAGCTTTTTAGCATGCACATACTCCAGCACAAGTGCCCTTTCCTCATGGGCTGCAGGTGAATGCTGCATCCCCCCATGTCTTTAATGAATTACAGGGAAAAAACGAAGTGTGGTATGTCAAAAATATATCTTCACCATAGCCTTACAAAGAGAATTTCAGCCCAAGACCAAGGCATCTCCTCAATCCTCTCCTAACTAGAATTTGACTCCTTTACTGACCTCAGTGTCCCATGTTGTTTTCCTTACGTGTCTTCACCCTTTCCTTTTCCTGATTTGGGAGAGAATTGGTGTTCGTAGGTTCATTTGTTCTCAAGCTTTATCAATTGAAACAGTTTTTATACAGTTCTGCAGCGCTGAAATGTTGATCTCACCCAGGCTATGCATCAGGGAGATCACTTGCTGTGCCTGTTGCTGCTGGTCACGCAGTCTCTGCCTACACCCTGCAAGCCATTCCGGCTGCCAGATCCACTCAGCGCTTTTTTTTATGTGGAGTGCCAAAAACAAGAAAAGCTGCTGCTGCCATTTTTGTCCTTCTGTCCACAGCATGGCTGGCTCAAAGCAGCTAAACAAACAAATTTCATTGCGAGCCATGCCGAAGCGGCCACGGCCACGTGCCGCTGGCCTGGTTGCGCTGATTTCAGCCGTGCAGTCCCAGCCACGTGGCTGCTCCCAGTACGGGATGGCAGTGGCCACTCCTGGCCCCTGGCCACTCCTGGCCTCAGGGCCATCCCCAGTGCTGACCACAGGGCCGCTCCTGGCATTGGTCCTGGCCACATGGCTGTTCCCGGTGCAAATATAGCCCTGGGTGGCATGGGCTAGCAGTGCCGCTGGAAAAAAGACCTGAGGGCTCTGCCGGGAAGGAGCCTGGCCCCTCTGGGAAGTGAGCCCAGCCACCCGGTGGGACGGGACCTGGTGGACTCCCCAGTGAGGGGCTCAGCAGCCCACTCACCACCCCTCAGGGGGCTGAAAATCTTGGCTGGGCCACATGGGGCTGGCCCAGTCCAGCTGCATGGGGATGATCCAACCAGCGCCCTCTTCAAAAGCTGGAAGCCAAGAGAGGTCTCCCAGGCTTGCCCATCTTTAAAATGTGAATCTCACAGAGGTGGACACAGCTTCTAAATCATTCAGTAGGTTGTCAGTTCTCAGAGCTAGCCAACTATTGGTTTTTGGTAGGCACAGAAGAAGCTCTTAGCAGCCCCTCCCAGAAAAATCATTTTTGTGGATGGCTTCTTCCCTCCTCACCAAATGTCAATTAGTGCAAATCCACCACAGAGGCAGAGAGTAATTGAATTTATATCATTTGAATTTTTCTTGTTTCTTTCACTTAAGCTCTGTTTATCTTGACTCAGTTTTCTTGCTTTTCCTATTCTCTCACCCTTCCTGCTGGTAGGGAGGATGGAGTGAGCACCTATGCGGGTGCTCAGCTGGCAGAGTCAACCCACCGCAACAGTTAATGGCATCACCATATTAACTGAGTTACATCCACAGATTTTATTTTACAAGCAATAACCCTGGATTTCTTTTGCTCGTTTCCAATGGCAATTGTAGTTTTCCCTGTGCATAGGTGTAGGATTTTGCTCTTCCATCACAAGCCTTTTGTTTCTAATAAAACGGGCTTTTCGGCAGCATGGTCCTTTGGAAGTATTCATCAACTCTAGGATAGTTTTCAGTTTACTCCTAGCATGTAGTGAATGTGATTTTCCATGCTAATATATTTCTTTCTAAATTCTTACACGTACTTTAATAAAATCACACTTTAGAAAATGTTACACTTTAAAGAAGTATTTGTGTACTATATATGTCAGTATTTGTCTACCACTTATCTGTACAAACTATGACTGCCAGAGAAAAGTCAAAATTATTGAAACTCTATCTAAACAAAGAGGAAAAACTTTGTCTTGAAGAGTAAACTAAGAGGAAAGCCCATTCAATTTTCATTTTAGCTTTAAATATATCTTATACTCCATGGTCATCATTTCACAAGAGCTTAATTACAGACCTCATTTAAGAATCTGCTTAAGCAATTGTTTAACTGAGACCTAAGTGAGATATCTACAGTACAGTATAGTATTTTCACTCAGACTGGCAAAGTAAAATTCATAAATGCAAATCTTTATGAGGTATTTAAGGCAAACACTGATAAAAGGCTTTTGTCTTTCAAGTCCTTGGTTTTGCAAATTCACTATAATAATAAAAATCTAGTATTTAGGCACTGAATGATAAAATTTCTTACAAATATAATTTGGAAGTATTAATATATTATTCAATAACTAAGTCAATCGGTGTTAATTGCATCACAGAAACTTTTCAGCATACTAATAGCTCTTTGTGTTCTTCCATCTCTCTTTCATAGATGAAAATGGCAAATAAATGCTGTTCTCCCTCTGACCAGGTAAGATTTCCATTATATTATCCAATTTTTTAAATTTGTATGATTACATTGTTGGAAAATTTGTAGAGCTTGCATATACACGTCTAGTCAGTTTTAAAACTAACTGGTTTTAAAACTGACTGACTGCAAGATTGATGATGGGAAAGCAAAGACCCTCCCACTGTAAGTAAAGATCAGGTTTGTGACCACTTCAGGAACCTGAACATGCTTAAGTCTATGGGACCTGTTGAAATGCATCCTAAAGTCTTGAGATAATTGGCTGATGTAGTTGCCAGGCCACTCTACGTGATGTTTGGAAAGTCACAGAAGTCAGGGGAAGCCCCTGGTGAGAAGCAGAAAGGTGGAAAGGAAACATTGCACCCGTTTTTAAAACGGCTAGAACGGAGGAACCCAGTATCTACCAACCTGTGAGCCTCATCCATGTTCTGGGAAAATCATGGAAGAGATCCCCCTAGAAGTTGTGATAGAGCACTTGAAGGGCAGGGAGGACTTGGGGAACAGGAAGCCAGCCATGTCCTGGGCTGCATCAAAAGTAGAGTGGCCAGCAGGTCAGGTCAAGTGATTCTGCCTCTCTACTCTGTTCTTGTAAGACCTCACTACCACTGCATCCAGCCCTGGGGCTCCTAAAATAAGGAAATGGACCAACTCTAACAGATCCAGAGGAGGGCCTCAAAGACAGTCAGAAGGATGGAACACCTCTGAGGAGAGACTGGGGAAGCTACGGCTGTTCAACCTGGAGAATAAGGTCCAGGGTGACCTTATTGCAGCCTTTCAGTATCTAAAGGTGGCCTATAAGAATGACTGGGACAAGCTTTTAGCAGAACATATTGTGATAGGACAAGAGGTACTGATTTTAAACTGAAAGAGTGTTGATTTAGCCATAAAGATGAAGTTTTTCTTACATGAAGGGTGGTAAAACACTGGGAAAGGTTTTCCAGAGAGGTGGTGCATGCCCCATCCCTGGAAACATTCAAGGTCAAGTTAGTGGAGCTCTGAGCAATCTGATCTAGTTGAAGATGTGCCTGCTTTTTGCAGTGGGGTTGACCTCTGTTACATTTAAAACTCCCTTCCAACCCAAACTGTTCTATAATTCTGTGATTTAAGTACTCTCTTTGCTATGGCTTTTAATTATTAATTAAACCAATATGAAAAACACGTGACTATGAGTGCCAGGGGAAAAAATATTTGATTTGGATACCTTTTGTTGTATGAACTGTCTACTGCAAGTACTTTAGTAACTATTCAGAGCTTTTACTTATCAGTTTGGGCACACATAATGAGTTCAGTTGAAAAAAGGACTTTCCCTCAATTTTCAGAAATTTTGGGGACAGTCATATAATTATGTAGATACCACTAGATACATAATTTGATTTCCTAAGTAAACAGGCTAGTCTCCATAAAGTGCCTAAATAATCAGTGCAGAAACTTATTCTGTTCCAGAGAGCTGTTCAAATGTGAAACTTGGTAACAGAGCTTTAAATCATCCTTTAGAGGAGCCACTTTTACTATCTTGACTTGCCTCAGTCTACCATCTAAAGTAGGTGCCTAAAGTTAGGTGGGACAAATCTATCCCGCTTTTTCCATTCCAAGTATAAAAAGGAGAACAATTAGGACCTTAATTTCAGAAGTGGAAAATTTAAGGTACAGCTTAAATTTTGAAGCAACAGACATTGCATTATTCTCCAAACAGTTTGGAGAGCAACAAACATTGGATTGTTCTCTGTCAAAAAGTGAGAAAAAAAGAAGTTTGTAATGAATTTGGGCAGATCAAGTAAACAAAACTAGAAAACATTAAAATACTAAAGGAGCAATTGTGAACAACTCAGACTTCATATATGTCTTGTGAAAATTTGCTTTAAAAGCAATCAAAATGTGAATTCTTGGGTATATATATCACAAAGGCATCATATAAAACTTGTCAATGAAAACTGAAAACAGAAGAGGACTAGTTCTGCCCTAGATTAATGGAGCCTATTAGTGACAGATGTGTAATATTTATAAAGACCTGAATAGTTCTTATTCAGGCATTTGATTTAAAATTTAGAGAAAGGATAACCTTAAGAGATTGAAGGTCACTTGAACTGCCTTGAAATGAAACTGGTGATAGCTGCAAATTTTTCTTTCCTTTTGAGCATGGATATTTCCTGAAGAATTAAACAGATCCTTAGAGTTTCATTACTGTGTTGCCTGTGGTGAGTTTTCTTCATCGCTTTTAGAGTCCAACTTAACCTTTAATAAAGGGAGGAGGTTAGATGTGGATAGGTTTCATTCAGATTCTGTTTATCACAGGCCATTAACAAACTAGAATTCAGGGTTATTGAGAATGTAAAACATTATTTCGTTAAACCTTGCTTTCCTCTTTGTTTTTGATATTGCCTCCGACTGGTTTTACTGCAAACTGAATCTCCAGAACATAATGAATTTGATATGCATTTAAATAAAGAATATGGGAAAGGACTAAGGTACTGGTTCTTGGGCCTAAACCAGCTTTATTCATGGGTCTCTTTGCCAAAAGATGTCAAACAAACATAGTATGATGTTTGGCCTGTGCAAGGCTGTAATTTAGACTTTGGGGATTCTTGTGGATCCCTTCCAACTCAGAATATTCTGTGGTTCTCTGATTCTATGATTTTTTGCTGTGTCTGTGGCCCAAAGTTAGAGGTATTAGGCAAGGTAGTAGAAGCTGTAGTTATTATTGATCTATTTATACTATTCAAATAAACAGTACCAGGTCATGAAGTTAATTGGTCCAGCTACTTCCACACTTTTAAATTCCTTTTTCCCACCAAAGCAAGGTGTTTGCATTTGAACTGCCTGTTGGAAATTTTTTCCGCCAAAGCTGAAATCCCAGACTGTCTGTGAAAATTGTTTGCCAAGTTCTAGGTATACCAAGACTTGCCATGATAGTTACTCCAAGTCAAAGACTACAAGATTTTAAGAAATATTCAGGGATTACACAAATTCAAAAGGCACTAAATAAGTAGCACTTCTGAAGCTCTGGTTCTAAGTGTCTATTTAACCTGTGTCAAGGATGAAGAACACAGCAACTAAGCATCATAACTTCTGATTTTGCTTGATATAATTTATTATAATACTCCAGAGATTTGAAAGCACTCGGATCTTGGTTAGATTTGGGACTCAGTTTTCCAAAAATACTAACTACTGGATTGATTTTTATTTTTTATTAATGCAAATTAAACCATTCTCTCTCTGCACAACTAAAAATACTTGCAATGTTTTTTGGTTTGTTTGCTGAATAGTTTCTTATGTTTTTAAGAGTCAAGCTTTTATCATGATTATTTCAGGGGTTTTGTGTCTGCCAGATGGCATATCTAAACATTAGGAAAGAGCAAAAATTATGGTTGCTAATTGAATAAAGAAGAAGTTGGACAATTAAGGACTAGTCTATTTGACTTCAATCCCTGTAAAGAAATTTGAAATAAATAAACAAAATACCTGTGTGGAGCGGAAATATGAGAAATGATTGCCCTGAAGGATTTGTCAATAACAAATAGTGACAACCAATCTAATTTTCTTTTGTATATATCCTGTAGATCTGTGACAGGAGATTGCTGTCTTGATTCCAGAAAGGTTTTTGACAACTTCTGACCTTTAAATATTCTTAAAAAGTATTATACTTGCTTGTACAGATTTCAGTTGCACAGATTTTGTTGTATAATCCAATATTAGGTATAGATGATTCACTTTCAAAATGAAATGAAATGAAATGAAATGAAATTTTCAGAAATGCTAAAGAGGTCTGATCTGGATCCAGTTCCCTTGAATAAGTTTTTCAGAAGCCTTTTTTCTATTCTGGTTTGATAATTATAAGATCATAATTCTAAATAAGAAACTTGTCAAATATGAAGGGTTTTCTCATTGTTCCTCATAGCAGAACTGCTAATGCAGGCATGCCATCAACATGTTTGCCTGGCTTCATCCTGCATACAAGAAACCCTGTACCTTTCTTGAAAGACCATTTTTTGTTCCTTTCTCTTCCTCTTTTTTTTTTACTCAAAACAGAGAAAAATGTTTTTGAAAATATAACATATAGCAATAAAATTACTTTATTCTAATAGTCTGGAAAAGTTAGGTTATTGAAAACTATAATTTTACAGCTTACACTTGTTGAAAGGGAGAAGGACTAAATTTCTTTAAGCATAAAGAGACCAAATAAAGACAGAATGGAGATCTTCTTTGGTAATTTCTTTTACTTTATTTATATGGGATGACAATTTTTAATTTCCTAATGAAATTGCCTTGATTTGCTTCAGAGACTTTTTTTGTCACCTCAGATCATAAATTGAAAAAACGTACTATAACAGAAGAAGTACCACTTAAAAACACTCAATGTTTTAACCTCTAGTCAGCTAATATGCAGTGCTGTGAGGTAAATATGCTCCATGATATAAACAACTATAGTTTGAAATGGTTTTGTCTTTATTTTTCCACTTGTTGATATTGTTGTAATATTGCTAAAATAGAAAGCAGACCTATAATAAAAATAAACAAACAAATAAATTAGTTGTGAAGGATGTGAATTTTCCATTTTTCTTCAGTTGGATTAGTTCCTGCTGCATAAATAATGTTCCTGATCTGCTATAAGAATGCATAACCATTAAAGCAACTTACTGGTGGTAGCTGTCTTCAAGACAGAGTTTTCTGCTTTGGATCCTAACTTGAACAAGAAGGCTGTAATGAGTAAAGGTGAGAGACATCAGGTCGAATTTACCAGCCTTCTTGTTAAAACAAGCAAACAAAGAGCAGAAATCATTATTGCTACCCAAAAGGACTTGTAATCTTAATTTTGCCCAGGCAGACAATGCCTAGGAGGATGCATGAATTCAGATACATAGCTGTCTTCATAGTTCCCTTCAGCATAGTGTGGATATGTTGCTATTTGTGGTGTTCAATCTGTGCCAGCTTGGAGTTACAAATTTCATTGTTGAACTAAAGCACATTAAACACTTGAGTGTCATAATTTCTAAATTCCTCTATACTTTGCTCTCTAGAACATTTAGTTTTGAATTGTGGCCATTCAGACATAAGTAAAAGCAACTGATGTACAATGGAAACCAGTAATGTAATACATTAAAACTTACAGCATTCCAATCTCCCTTTTTT